GTTCAACAGCACTGAATCATTCAGGAATGAAACAAGCAACTGTCTATGAGTGAGTCATTGAATCATTGACTCAACTGATTTGTTCAACAGCACTGAATCATTCAGGAATGAAACAAGCAACTGTCTATGAGTGAGTCATTGAATCATTGACTCAACTGATTTGTTCAACAGCACTGAATCATTCAGGAATGAAACAAGCAACTGTCTATGAGTGAGTCATTGAATCATTGACTCAACTGATTTGTTCAACAGCACTGAATCATTTAGGAACTAAACACCACTGCTGTTGCAATGATTCGCTGAGACTATTTTTGTTGACAAGCAAAACGAAAGGTAATGGCAGTATTTTACTCAATATTAACTTGTTATTGCGGTTCCACATCAAACACTGAATATACATGCAGTCTATTTCTCATACATCTGATTTACAAAGAGCTATTTTCATTCTCACAACCATGAAACACAACCTAATCAGAGAAATTAAATGTAAACTACATTATTCCAACTGACATTTTCTACAAAAAAAAATAAGGTTGAAAACCGGAAAACTACCCAATCTATTACAGAAAACAATATGATTTCCTATGAAAAACAGAATGAATAAATGAATGAATGTATGTGTATGTTGCTGTAATTGAGTGTGTATGAAAGTGTTCCTGTAGTAAACACACATCTCTCCTGAGAATCATATCAGCGATCCGCTCCTGGCACATTATCCTGTGTGTTTGCGTCCCGTTTCACAAACCGTACGCTTGCGTTTCTGGCTGTGGGAAGCTGTAGGTGGTGAAACGCAAACCGTTTGAAGACGAGAAGTGCATCTGAACATAAACATCCTAACAGAGTCATTCACACAGCACCAACGCTCACAGCAATGCAGACAACCACTGCCAGAATCTACACTGAATTATAAAACGGATAGCTCCGGTCCTTGATTCTGATTGGCTGAGCCGCGTTCAAAGCTGTTGTAAATTACTCTACAAACACACACCTCTTCGTTTCTGTTGTTGCTCGGCAACCACTTTGTTGCAACCACAACTGTTTCTGAGGAGCTACATTGTTTGGTGGAAGAATATGTTTTTATTAATATCATTACACTTTATTTGCTTTGTTTTATTTTGTGAAACCTTGGAACAACCGTTTTATAAAAGCAATAAGCCCCGTGAAGCTGTGGTTTACAGTGAATTTATAACAGCTAAGGGGGTTTTGGGCACTCTGCTCCGCCTAACAACGCCCCTTAGCTGTTATAAATTCATGGTCTTATTGCTTTAATAACCAGCGCCAGCCGACGGGTCTGAGACGTGTTTGTGATTCCAGTCGCCCGCTTCACCTGATTGAAGAAAAAATCACTACTAGTGATTTACTTCAGAAGTAGCTCAGCTCCGTGTAATACCTGAACACGGATCGATCCGCAAACAAATGCATGGAATTGGATACAAAGAGACTGAGCTAAAGCAGCGAGAGCGTGCAGAAACCTGCTGCAGAACCGAGCCGATGAGGAGAACGTGTCTGATGCATTTAGAATGATTCCTCTGACAAACGCGGAGCAATGCTTCATCGATGAACACACACCTGGAGCTTCAGACTCACCCGCGGGATCAGAAGAAGATCAGAAGAGCGCCTGTGCATTGGTTGATGATGGGACATTAAAAGTCAAAACTCAGATAATTTAGCGCACTTAGTCAACAATGCACATGATTTGAGGGATCATTCATGTCTGGAGCTCAAACACTGCTGACAAACATACAGTTTGCTAACGTTCCCATTAAAACGCTATTTCTGAATGTTCTCTGAAGGTTCAGCTTTTTGAATTTTGAAACACTTTTATTGGTTATGTGAATTTAAGAGGAAGATTTAAGGGGACATTTAATTTTATCATTTTGCAAATATTACAGGAACGCTACTTTGGAATGATGTTTAAAACGTGTAACTTCTGTTAATGTTCAAAAAAGAGTTAGAAGAACATCTGTCTAAAATGTTTTTAAAAACATTCAATTAACAATGTATAAATAATGTTTCTTTGCTAACATTTTGAGAATGTTATTAAAGACCAGATAACTGAATAAATGTTCTGTCATCGTTACTGGTTTGTTCAGGACTTTTCCAGAATGTTCTCTGTCAGCTGGTAATACTGCAGAATGCTTCTTATCTTAAAAATAAAGCTTTCAAAAGAGTGTTTTCGCAGTGATGCCATAGAAGAACCATTTCCGGTTCCTCAAAGAACCCTTTCAGTGATCAATTCTTAAAAGAACCATTTTTTCTTAGAAACTTTTTCCACTATAAACCTTTTGTGCAATGGAAAGATTTATGGATGTTCTTCTTGGAACCATCAATGCCAATAAAAAAAACTTTATTTTTAACTCAGCATCATCTCACCATAAAACAACCTAATGAGAAATGCAATAGCACTCTTCTAACTGATGTTTTCATTAAATAATAAGTTTGAAAACATTTCTTCGCTGGAAATCTACAAAAACCATTCTACCCAAACAAGACTCATGATGTGGACCTGATGGTTCGTTAAGACACTCAATGATTTTCCGGAGGACACAACATATATTTTTCTCTTCCAGAGGGGTTTGATTCAATTTAAAGTGCGAGACGTGCGACGCGTTTGCTGTACGACATTCATTCAGATCCATATGGCGAACATGACTTCAGCACCTGCGTGTCTCCTGAGCGCCTGACGGAGACACAGACACATCTGTTTCCAATTGAGATGTTTGCAGAAAATTAACAATCAGTGTAAAAACGCAATGGTGAATTTACATGAAAACAGCAGGTGTGAGATTCTCTCCAGTCCGCTGTGAGATGAGCTGGATGGCATTAAATGTTTACTTATCGGGTAACGGGTCTGATATGATCTGCGTCTGAATATAAGCGTCCTGTGAAGAGTCAATCATGACACTGAGGATTTTATTATTCATACATGACCCTGGAGCACAAAACCAGTCTTAAGTGTCAATTTTGTGAAATTGAGATTTATACATCATCTGAAAGTTGAATAAATAAGCTTTCCATTGATGTATGGTTTGTTAGGATAGGACAATATTTGAAAATCTGGAATCTGAGGGTGCAAAAAAATCTATCTTAGCAATGCATATTACTAAACACAAATTAAGTTTTGATATATTTACGGTAGGAAATGTACAGAATATCTTCATGGAACATGATCTTTACTTAATATCCTAATGATTTTTGGCATAAAAGAGAAATGTATAATTTTGACCCATACAATGTATTGTTGGCTATTGCTACAAATATACCCCAGCGACTTAACACTGCTTTTGTGCTCCATGGGTCACAGATGTGAATACAACGATTAGAGATCACACAACGATATTACCATCACACGCTCTCAAACAGAATGATTTTACTGATCCAAGAAACTGGACACCAGTGAAGACAAAGAGCAACATTATGAGCCATCGAACCCTACATGAATTCACACGAACTGGAAATAAAGCATGAGTCGATTACAACAGAATCCAACTCCAAGCGATTTCTAGATCGACATAAATGCATAACAAGTTTCCAGACCTGCAAATATTGAAATGATCCAATGTTTTTATGTTTTCCATGATGGTGCAACACATGTTGATTATTCTGAGGAACCAGACTCTTAAAAATAAAGGGTTGTTTTTTGGTTCCCTAAATAACCTTTCAGTGTATTTCTTAAAATAACGTTTTTTTTTCTTAGTTTTAATAATCTGAAGAACCAGTACAAAATAAAGCTTCTTTATTGGTATTGATGCTCCACGAAGAACCTTTATCATCCATTAATTCTTTCCATTGCACAAAAGAGTCTTTATAGTGGAAAAGGTTCTCAAATGTTCTTCAGAAAAAAATGGTTCTTTTAGGAACTGATCACTGAACGGTTCTTTAGGGAACCAGAAAAGGGGTTTCTATTGAAATCGCTGCTGAAAACCCCTTTATTTTTAAGAGTGAAAGAACATTTAGTGGTTTATTTAAAGGTTCTTCATGGAACCGCAGACATCAATAACGCACTGTGCCATCGGAGATCAAATCAGATTATCAAATTAACTAACGAATCTGACCAAAACAAGAACTTTCAAGCAATGCATCCTTCTTTTAATCTCTATTCGAGGCTTTATTGCGTTGAACACTGGATCTTTGCATTAGATCTCGTGCTGCTGCCACCTGATGCTGCGAATAAAAGCGTCTGATAGATGCGCGTCAAATGCTGAATGAATAAATGTAAATAAATCCTCGATCTAGCTGTTTAGCCTACTATACATATGCAAATCTTTACATGAATGGCAGCATGGAGCGAGTGCTTCTGGTGCACGGCTGTGGAGGACCGCGGTGAAACACTGCTCCTCTGCTGGCGTCACCAGTAAATACAGCAGCTCAATGGAGAGCACGGCGTGCGGTGGCGCAGGGGTTCGTGCTGAACCTCCAGAACGCATCCAGAACATTCCCTCTGCTCTGCTTTACACCTAATGCAGCTTCACAGCAGAATATACGAGCTACATACAACAAACACAACCCTGCACCGCGCGTCCCGCAGTGACGCATCGATCAGGACGCGCGTCACGGATCAACCGCATCAGTAGCACCTGCTGACAGTCACACATACAGCATCATGGCATCATAATAATAATGAGTTCACCACCTGACGTCATGAAATACAACTTTAGGACACACTAAAGCGATGACAGAAACGCAACAAGATGCTCCGATAGAGTGAATACTGCGCGTGTGTGTTTGAGTCTCTCCATCAAGCAGCAGCAGCGCTGAATCAAACAGCAGCACGTTCACATTTGCACAACGAGACACTGAGGAAAATCCAGCTTAAAACCAGCAGTGGTCAACCAGTAACCAGTAAGCAAGCGGAGCGCGTCGCCCCGATCAAGCGTTCCGCAGCGCGCTCGCGTTCAGCCGGATTCTTGCGAGGAAAATCCAATTTATCCATCCATAAAGTGCGTAAAACCAGCCCGCTGAGCGTGAGCAAAGAGTAAAGAGTGTAAAGACCGACTCACCGTGCGTTTTGGAGACACCGGTGAGAACATGCAGCCCGATGAGGAGTGCGTAAAGTCTGCTCCGGTGAATATCTCCAGTGACGCAGCCCATGATGGTCAAAATCACCGCAAAATCCGCTATTAATCAATCAATCAATCCGTGCGATTGAGGATCCTGCGCTCCCGTGAATGGAAACGATCAGCGCGAGCGATACCGTGTCGTTAAACAGCGCGATTCTCCATCCTCGGTCCCGGTCGTGACGCACGCGGCGGTTCCTCTGACTGACTGACGCGCCACGCCGCGCCGCTCGCTCTCTGTGCGCGATGAGTTTGGCGATGAGACTTCATTGATCTGAAGAAGGAGGGACGAAAACCCGGCACAGAGTCCGTCTGGAACCGGATCCATCTGCCATCTGCGCGCCGCGCACAATAGAGACTCGCACCGAGCGCGTGTGTGCGCGGGACAATGGCACGAATCGATTGCGTTTTTACCTCCACATCTCACGAGGTCTCATGATGGTCTCAGCTGGAGAGAAAAAAGCTTGGGGTCCTGTTACTTTAGTTTATGAAAAGCACCATGTGAAACGAGGCTTTAAAGCACACTCTGTATTAACGCACTGGAGGAGTTTGGCTCACGGTGTTCACTACAACATTCAACAGCATCAAATGCTGTATTGCTTTCAGAAAACGCTTACATAATAAAAACAATACAGACAGAAGTGAATCGAGTGAATCAGATCGACTGGTGTTGTCCTTCTCTGCTGTAATGGAGTAAACTGAGGTTAGGATAGATCTATCTGTCTATCATTAGGGGAATGTTCTGTTTATTTTGGTCTATCAACTGATTTAAGGTCAGAATCTGTTATTAATTACATGAGTCTGAATATGTATAATTTCAAATCAAACACAGAACAGTAATAGTGAATAGAGACAGTAGCATTCACTCTCAGATACACCGTTCTGCACTGTTTGCTACCATAGCCAAGAACAGTTGGTATTTTGCATCCACGCGTCAGTCATATACTGTGGTAATATACCGTGGTAAAGTAAGTGTGTGTATGTTTACTGCTGACTCTGGTTCACTGCACTAGTCTATTTATGGAGTTCCTCTCATGTATTGACTAGCTGGATCTCAGTGTCTCCCATGTGCACCCAATTATACCGGTGTGTTTGCAGAGACACACACACACACACACACACACACACTCACCATCACACACACACACACACACTCACCATCACACACACACACACACACTCACCATCACACACACACACACACACTCACCATCACACACACACACACACACTCACCATCACACACACACACACACACTCACCATCACACACACACACACACACTCACCATCACACACACACACACACACTCACCATCACACACACACACACACACTCACCATCACACACACACACACACACTCACCATCACACACACACACACACACTCACCATCACACACACACACACACACTCACCATCACACACACACACACACACTCACCATCACACACACACACACACACTCACCATCACACACACACACACACACTCACCATCACACACACACACACACACTCACCATCACACACACACACACACACTCACCATCACACACACACACACACACAACATCACACTCACACACACACAGACACACACACACACACACACTCACACACACTTTCTCTCTCTCTCTCACGCACACACACACACACTGAGAAAGGTGGAATCGCTACAGTAAACAACTGAAGATTTCCTATTGATTTCCATGTGTGTGTGTGTGTGTGCGTGCGTGTGTGTGTGTGTGAGTGAGTGTGTGTGAGCGTGTGCGTGTGCGTGCGCGTGCGTGAGCGTGTGCGAGCGTGTGCGTGTGTGTGTGTGTGAGCGTGTGCGTGTGCGTGCGCGTGCGTGAGCGTGTGCGTGCGCGAGTGTGAGCGTGTGCTTGTGTGTGTGTGTGTGTGTTTCCATGTTGAGTTGTTGTCGTCACATGCGGCAGCCTAACCTCACATTCCACCTTCAATGTTTTGAGATATTAATGCACTGAGAATAAACATGAATAATGTCAGTTTATTTCAAGGATTCAACATGATGTTTATCTTCCAGTTCTAAAGGATAAAGCACATCCTTTCTCAATCTTTTTTTGCACATTTCTTCTAACCAACTTTTATTTTATTACTTTACATTCAAAATGCACTAAAACACTTCATACAGTCTTAAATCAACTCAAAAAGCCTGTCACCCCTCAATCACACTCTATCACTAATAACAGGCAGAATTACACGTTTTCTTTAAATTCCTTAAAATTACTTTACAAATCAATAGCAAGAGTAAATGTTACAAGGTCCAAATTTACAATACAATACAAAATTACACCAAAGTTTCCCCTTTTATATAGACGCCTAATGAAACTGAAAGACTAACACTGTGTAGATGTTCAGCTAGATCTAATTGCTTTCAGTATGATATTACTGTAGAAATGTAGCAGATTCTTATCCAGTTCTTTAGATTATGTTAGGATTTGAACTTAAGTTTATCAGTTTTGTAAAGAGTATGTAAATGTGCAAACTGGCCTGCGAGCAGAGCCACCGGAGATGCGTTTACACAAACACACGTCAGCTTTCTCCATCTCAGCGTGACACCGACGAACAGAAATAATAATAGAGCGGCTGAAGTCGAGGAGGGGCCCGGGCTCCTAATGAGCTGTTTATCACATCATGAATGAACTCTCCATTCAGCAGTAAACGAGTCTCTTCTGTCTGACTGTAAACACGCTCAGAATCCATAAACAAACTCCACACGACGATCACCACCATATGAAAAATTGATATATGAAACATAGTTTTCCAGATGTGTTTTATCTACTGTATGTGAATCAGTCGAGCCTCTGAAATGAATCACAGAGACAGACGATGAACATATGTCAATCTGTTTGTTTCTTTGCTTTGTTTGGGTCTAAAAGACACTTAATATGCAGTAATATTAGAATCAGAATCAGAATCAGAATCAGAATGAGCTTTATTGCCAGGTATGTTTACACATACGAGGAATTTGTTTTCGTGACAGAAGCTTCCACAGTGTAACAGAATGACAGTGACAGAACAAAAAACACAGATAATAAAAAATAGAACAAGTAAATAAGGAATAAAAATATATAAATTGACAGTTGTATGTGCAGGTATATTACAATAGACAGTTTTTGTATGTACAGGTACTGTATATTATGTGCAAATTTGAGGTGTAGACTGAGTATGAGTGTTAGATAAATAAGTGTATGAGTGAATAAATAGTGTGTGTTCCACAGTTATTGTCAAGTGTTCATGAGATGGATGGCCTGAGGGAAGAAACTGTTCCTGTGTCTGGTCGTTCTGGTGCTCAGTGCTCTGTAGCGTCGACCAGATGGCAACAGTTCAAAGAGGGAGTGTGCTGGATGTGAGGGGTCCAGAGTGATTCTGCCAGCCCTTTTGCTCACTCTGGATGAGTACAGTTCTTGGAGAGAAGGGAGGGTTGTACCAGTGATTCGCTCAGCAGTCCGGACTACCCTCTGTAGTCTTCTGAGGTCAGATTTGGTAGCTGAGCTGAACCAGACAGTTATTGAAGTGCAGAGGACAGATTCAATGATGGCGGAGTAGAAGAGTCCGCTAGAGTTAAATCACTAGAGTAGTGATTTAACTGCACTGACACTATCAGATGAGAACAAAACTCCATCTGAATTGAGCTAAATAATGACTCTATTGTCTTCTTCTGCTTTACAGCTGGATCGAATCTGTTCATAATTCAGATCAGTTATTGAACTGAACAATGACTCTATAGTCTTCTGTAGAGCTGAGTTTGTTTCTGACCACACGCGTGTGATGATGGTGTTCGAGTCTGAACGACTCCACATCATCATCATGAGGTTCTTCTGTCAATGGATTTAATTACTCTTATTATGCCCTAATAAGGCTGTGTTCCACTCTCGACTAATCTGATTAATTTCTCACAGGAACTCTCTCAACTAGATTAGTTATTTCTTAACCTAATTAGCATTGCCGAGTGCAGATTTCATTCGAATGAGAAGAAAGACGCACACAGGGCTAATCCCGCAGCGCCTATTAACTCTGGGTCCCGAGCAGCAGGAGGAGGCGGATGAACTGCATTATCTCTGGGGGGGGGGGGGGG